TCCTCCCTGGCCTCTCCAAATCTCATGTCTTCACACTTCTAAAGCAATCATGCCTTGTCAACAGTCCCCCAAAGCTTTAACTCATTTCAGCATTAACCCAGAAGTCCACAGTCCAAAGTCTCATTTCAGGCATGGCAAGTCCTTTCTGCCTATGAGCCTGTTAAATCAAAAGCAAGCTAGTTACTTCCTAGATACAATGAGAGTACAGGTATTTGGTAAATATGGCCATTCCAAATGGGAGAAATTGACCAGAACAAAGAAGTACAGAGCCCACGCAGGGCAGTCAAAATTTAAAACTCCGAATTTACCTCCTTTGACTTCATATCTCACATCCAGGTCATGTTGATGCAAGCAGTGGGTTCCCATGGTCTTGGGAAGCTCTGTCTCTTTGGCTTTGCAGGATACAGCCCCACTCCTGGCTGCTTTTATGGGCTAGCACTGAATGTCTGCAGTTTTTCCAGGAGTATGGTACAAACTGTCAGTGGATCTACCATTCTGGGGTCTGAAGGACGGTGGCCCTCTTCTCACAGTTCCACTAGTCAGTGTCCCAGTAGGGACTCTTTGTGGGGCCTCTGATCCCACATTTCCCTTCTGCACTGCTGTAGGAGAGATTCTCCATGAAGGCCCCACCCCTGCAGCAAAAGTTTGTCTGGGCATCCAGGCATTTCCATACATCTTCTGAAATCTAGGTGGAGGTTCCCAAATCTCAATTTTTTACTTCTGTGAACCTGCAGGCTCAACACCACATGGAAATAGCCAAGGCTGGGGGATTCTACCCTCTGAAGCCACAGCCTAAGCTTTATGTTGGCCACTTTCAGCCATGGCTGGAGCAGCTGGGACACAGAACACCAAGTCCCTAGGCTTCAAACAGCACAGGGACCCTGGGTCTGGCCCACAAAACCACTTTTTCCTCCTGGGCCTCCAGGCCTGTGATGGGAGAGGCTACCATAAAGATCTCTGACATGCCCTGAAGACATTTCCCCTGTCTTGGGGATTAACATTAGGCCCCTTGCTACTTATGCAAATTTGTGCAGCTGGTTTGAATTTCTCCCCAGAAAATGGGTTTTTCTTTTCTATTGCATAGTCAGGCTGCAAATTTTCTGAACTTTTATCCACTGTTTCCCTTTTAAAGCTGAATGCCTGGCCAGGCGCAGTGGCTCAAGCCTGTGATCCCAACACTTTGGGAGGCCATGGCAGGTGGATCACCTGAGATCAGGAGTTTGAGACCAGCCTGCTCAACATGGTGGAACCCTGCCTCTAGTAAAAATATTTTAAAAAATTAGCCGGACATGGTGGCAGACACCTGTAATCCCAGCTATTGAGTAAGCTGAGGCATGAGAATTGCTTGAACCCAGGAGGTGGAGGTTGCAGTGAGCCAAGATTGTGCCACTCCACTACAACCTGGGCAACAAGAGTGAAACTCAATCTCGGAAAAAAAAAAAAAAAAAAAAAGAAAAAGAAAAATCCTGAATACCTTTAACGTTACTCAAGTCACCTCCTGAATGGTTTGCTGCTTAGAAATTTCTTCTGCCAGATATCCTAAATCATCTTTCTCAAGTTCAAATTCCACAAATCTCTTGGGCAGGGGCAAAACGCCACCAGTCTCTTTGCTGAAACATAACAAGAGTAACCCTTGTGCCAGTTCCCAACAAGTTCCTCTTATTCACCTGAGACCATCTCAGCCTGGATCTTATTGTCCATATCACTATCAGCATTTTAGGCAAAGCTGTTCAACAATTCTCTAGGGAGTTCCAAACTTTCCCACATTTTCCTGTCTTCCTCTGAGTCCTTCAAATTGTTCCAACCTCTGCCCATTACACAGTTCCAAAGTCACTTCCACATTTTGGGGTATCTTTTCAGCAATGCCCCACTCTACTGATACCCATTTACTTTATTAGCCTGTTTTCATGCTGCTGATAAAGACATACCCGAGACTGGGAAGATTTAATTGGACTTACAGTTCCACATGGCTGGGGAGGCCTCAGAATCATGGCAGGAGGTGAAAGGAATGTCTTACATGGTGGCAGCAAGAGAAAAGGGGGAAGAAGGAAAAGTGGAAACCCCTGATAAACCCATCAGACCTCATGAGACTTATTCAATATCACAAGAATAGCATGGGAAAGACTGGCCCCTGTGATTCAATTACCTCCTCCTGGGTCCCTCCCACAATATGTGGGAATTCTGGGAGATACAATTCAAGTTGAGATTTGGGTGGGGACACAGCCATACCATATCACTTGGGTATACCAGAGGGAAAAAATGACAAACTCATTGCTGGTTTGGTATTTCCTTGGTTTCTGGTCTTCCTTAATCTGATTGCTACTGTTTGCTTTACAATATCCTCAAATACCTGCTTGATGCATTCTGTCCAGTTTTAAAGCGATATTCAATTAAAGAGACAGGGCAGGATGTACTCACTCTATCTTATCTAGTACCAACAGTCCAGTTCTCTTTTAATTGTGCCTGGTCGCCTGTTTTACTTATTTACCTTGTGTTTAAATCTTAATTATTATATATTTAATTCCTAGACATTCTAGTTGATCTCTTTCAACTATTCTTGATCTTTTTATTAGTTTCATCTTTGATTCTTATTTTGAAGTCATCCTTTTATTTTTTAAATATATTAAAAATATTTATATTGTGTATCTAATAAACAGCAACTCTATTTCAGAGTTGCTATTTCTGAAAAACCTAAAATCATCTTTGACACTTTTTGTTTTCTTGAACCTCAATATCTAATAGGACATTAATCAGTTGCCTTTATCTTCAAAATATATTCAAATTTCACCAATCTTCACCAAGTTAATGGCTACAATCTCATTAAGGGAGGGTTTATGTATATGAATGATTAAGGCAGAATTATTTTCAAATTCTACTATTTGGTACTGATGGAGAAAAAGTATTTTTCTTATTATTTTACTCTATGAGATGTATTTTTAGTGAATTTTTACACAGACTATTTTGATGTTCACTCCTTTGGGGTCCCAAATACATGTGGTTATTTTTATTAAACTCTTCCTTTATGAGGGCTCTGGTAATCATCCTTTGTCCACTTGACTCCAATGTGGACTTCAAAACAAAATAAGCAACCTGGATTTAGAAGATGCCCATGGGGAACCCATCAGACCTCATGAGACTTATTCAATATCACAAGAATAGCATGGGAAAGACTGGCCCCTGTGATTCAATTACCTCCCCCTGGATTCCTTCCACA